GTCTGTTCCCCTTCCCTCAATTCCCCAGTGCTGTTCCCATCCCCCAATTCCCCAATAAAAATCTTTAAAAAAAAAAGAAATCTTATCTGTCATATAGGAAATCAAAGAGAATGTCTAAAAACTGATAAAGCCAAAAAATAGTTAAATAAGCATAATATGTACAAGTTTAGATGGCTGCCCTTGGAGAAGGAGACTAGATATTGCTTTTTTTTTTCTATTGTAAATGTTATAATACCGTTTGACATTTTTTACTATATTACTTTAATAAAAGTAAAACCTAATTTTAAAAATAATAAATAAATATAAAATATGAAATCTCCAAGGGACTGGAAGGAAAGATAAAGATAATTTACATAATAATGAGGTTAATGACTTACTAAGCATGACACGAAGAGCATAAATTAAAAAAAGAGACATAGGTTTTGATTATGTAACATTTAATGCTCTTGAGTGTCAAACCAAAAAAAAAACTAAATTAAATTAAAAGGCACCTGAGAAACTGGGAAAAATATTTGCAACATAGATGATACACAACAGGTTAATAAATTTGCATATTTAAGAGCTCTTACCAATCAATAAGAAAAAGAAACATTCCAATAAAAAAACTGGCTAAGGGCATAAACAAGGGGAAAAGGAAGGGAAGGGAAAGAAGAAAGACAAATAGTCAGTATCTTCTAAAAGAAAAACAAGTCCAATTTCTCTAATTAAAGAAATATACAGAATGGGACCTGAAAGATGATCACAAGTCAAGGAAGTAACACACATATGTTCTGGGTTGGTACATTCATGGATGTTCTTTTTTTTGCATTTTGATTATCTGTATCTCTGGTTTTATATTAAGTATATCTTGAATTCATAAAGAATTTACTTATTGTAGAAAATTTTCTAAAATACATTAAAGTGTATTCAAAAATAAATAAAAATTACTCAATATTCACCCCCCTGAGCTAAACATTGTTTTCACATTTCTTTTCCATTTCTTCTTTATGTCTTTTCAACAAAACTGGACTCATATATTTCTCTGAGCATTTTCTTTTAGATTAAAGATACTTCGAAAATAGAATATTATTTACTTCATGATATTCCATTAAATAGATGGATATATGACCAGATTCTAAATTGTAACAAATCACTACTAACATGTAACAACTTTTTATAACACTCATTTCAAATAAGATTAAAGTTTTTCATACAGGCTTGTGAGAAATGCAACCATCATGGATGATTTAAAACCAAAATGGGGACACATGCTGCTGTAATTTGATATTTTGAGATGAATGGAAGACTCAAAAGAAAATGAATACTCCTTTGTTTAGTAATAATGAATAGCCAAACCAAAGGGAAAAAAAAGTGGCATTACATTTATTTTCCTGATTTTAATGTCTAAAAATTATTGTATGGTAATTTTTTTTATTTTATATATTTGCTTATTATGTAAGAAATACTTGCCCATGAGATAGGGGGTTGGGGGAGTTAGGGGGGCCGGAATCAAATAATACAGAAGTATGTAAAGGTTTTCAAAGCCAAAATTCCCCTCACCCTAAAAACCATTGTTCATAGATTTTTGTAGGTCTCATTTTTTTAGGCATATGCAAACTTTCTCTCCTTTATACCTATCTACTCCTCCCCAACACAAACACAAGCCAATGGTACAGTGCTTTGCAATTCGTTTTTCACACTTAATATATTTTGGAGATTTTTCTATGTCACCACATACAAATATACTTCATGCTTTCAAATGATGGCATAGTTTTCCACTGCATAGATGTAGTATTTTTTAATCAGGTTTTAGGTTGTATATGGAATGTGTTCTATTAACAGCAATACAAATAGTTACTCGAAATGGATCACAGACCTAAAAATAAAACTTAAAACTTTAAAATTTCTATAAAATATGTGTGAATTTGGGTTAGGCAAAGGATTTTTAAATACATCAAAAGCATGATTCATAAAATAAAATATTGATAAATTGAAATGCATCCAAATTTAAAACTTCCACTCTTCAAAAGACATTGTTAAGAAAAGGAAAACAAAACCGAAATATTGAAAGTATTTGCAAAACACATACCTGACAAAGGACTTGTATCTAGAATACATAAAGAAATATCAAGACTCAATAATAAGAAAACAAAAGATTTGAACAGACACATCACCAAAGATATATGGAAGGCAAATCAGCACATGAGAAGATATCAACATCATTAGTCATCAAAGAAATGTGAATTAAAACTACAATAAGATATAACTATACATTCGAATAGTGAAAAATATATATTTTTTTAAAACTGACAATACCAAATGATGACAAAGTTGGGGAGCAACTGGAACTTTCATACATGTCCTGTGAGAATGCAAAATGGCACAGCCATGTTGCAAACTCCTTGGCAGGTTTTATGAACATACACTTCCCACGTGACTTCACAATCTCATTCCTAGATAATTACTCAAGAAATGAAAACTTGTATTCACACAATAACCTGTACGTGAATGTTTATATTAGCTTACTTAAAATTGCCAAAAACTGGAAATAATCCAAATGTCACTCAGCTAGGGAATCGATAAGCAAACTACTGTACATCCATGCAATGGAATACTACTCAGCAATATAAGGGAACAACTGATACAAAACATGGACTGTTCTCAGTTACCTTATGCTAAATTTAAAGCAGCCAGATTCAAAAGACTCCAAGTGTTTGCTTCCAATGATATGACATTCTGGAATAAACAAAAACTACAGGCACAGAAAATTGATGAGTGGTTCCAAGGGCTGGGGGTGGGAAGGGGTTAACTACAGAAAGGGCTGGGGGAAATGATGAAATAGTTCTGTATCTTGATTGGGGTGGTAATTGTGTAACTGTATGCATTTATCAAAGCTCATAGAACTGCACATTAAGAGAGTGAATTTTACCGTATGTAAAGTATACCTCAATTTTAAGTTAATCTTTTTTGCAAATCTTTATGTTCACATATCCAGAAGATAAATTACAATTGCTGAGTCAAAGAACACTTGGCGTTTCAAATTCTGGTGGTCCGACAAATTGTCCTCCAAAAAGGTTGTACCAAATTACACCACTACCAACAAGGTATGATGAGATGAAAGTGTCCAGTTTCCCCACATTGGTCAATCTGGTTAACGTCAAAACTTTTTCATCTTTGTAAATCTGGTAAGTGTCAAAAGGTATCTGGAGTTTAATTTAAATTTCTTTAATTACTAGAGAAGTTGAGCCTCTAGTCAAATATTTACTGGCCACCTTTTATTTTTTTTTTCTGTAAAATACCAATTTGCATCCTTTGCCATTTATAGTCCATTTCAAATGTCTAGTGATTGATTTTTAATATAAATTCAAGGATGTTAGGCACCCAGGCCTGGACCGGCCCCGCTGAGCCCGCCCCCGGGTGCCGCCCCTGCCCTCCCATTGGCCCTGCCCCCTCTCCGTAACAGCCAGTCTCTGGGCCCAGCAGCCAAACACGACACCGCCCCGCTCACTCACTGGCTTGTCCCACGGCTATCGAGTTTGGCTCCTAGTCTGTGCAGTTCCTCACCTTACCAGCGGAAACTGTGGGAGCTAGTCACCAATCTATCGGCTCAGAAACGCACCGCTGACACTCGCCTCGTCACCCACCGACCCCCATCGAGGAGGGGTCTTTCCCGCCACCACAGCTACTCTGGAAGTGGAAGGAGCTACGGATCCAAAGCTCTCCTGCTTCCGAGAACGCTGTTCCCCTGGCAACCAGAAGCAGCGCGCTTCCAGTCTCGCGATTAAAAAAAAAAAAAAAAAGGCCTGTACCATCCAGAATTAAGACGTGGGGGTCAGGGGCAGCGAGGAACTGATGAAACCCCCCGGTGGTCTCCTCCATGTTCCCGGAGGACAGTGTGGGCGAGGAATGGTTTGTTCGCATTTAGGTTGAACTGGGAACGAGGATGTCTGGATGCTTGTATGGCTCTGTCCCTCACTATTAATGTGGTGCCCTGCAGGTCGGCTACCCTCTCTGGGTCCAGTTTCCTCTTCCATAAAATGAGGAGGATAATAATTCCTTCCAAGGTTGTTGTGCCGCTCAAAAAGATCATATATGCGAAGTTCTTGGTAAAGTTTGGATGCCGTATAAATTTAAAATAGTGGTTTTACACAAATTGGGCCATTGTCCAAAAAGGGTAATAATTGCTATTTGTGGTTTTTCTAATTCTCGGTGCATGAAGGTCTATTGTGTTGAGTCCCCAAACTGATTTTCTCCATCCCCAGTACCATGAAATGCCTGCTTTCCCCCACCGGCCCTAAATGATGAGGCCCTCCATTTTCGCTCAGACCTCCAGTCCTACCACCTCTCCCTGGTAGACTTTGCTCTCCAGCCTCACTGTCCTCTTTGCTCCTATGCAATAATTTATTCCCAGCATGTCTCAGGAAATTTATGTTTTTCCAAATTTAAAAAAAAAAATCAGTTGAGAAATCAGGAAAACTGGAGAGAGTATTCTGATTCTTCTATGAGGATTAAAAATTAGCAATCAACATAGAGATGCTACTGAAGATATCCACTGATGTCAAGTCAAAAGCAAGAGCAGGAAACGCTGACACTCTAAGTCAGAAGTGGAGGTCGACATTCCAGAAACTGAGACGGGAGCGCCTGGGGGGGATGAGGTCACAATATGATTGGTCAGTCTTGCTTGGAGCTGGTGCCATGTTAGAAGTATGTGTTCCCCGCCCTGCCTGCTGCTAGTAGGGAGTCGTTCTTACAAATAAAATAAATATTAATAAGTTGATGACCATTGTATACTTTATACAAATTCTATGAGTGGTGTCCCAAGAAATAAGTTTTGATTCAAAATAACTCCTTAAATTGGAAATTTCCAACCCATGATTCTATGAGGTGTTGTTAACTTGGCTTGGAGATTTGTATGGTACATTATTCAGATGGTACCCAATGATGTTCTCTGTGTTCCCCCATATTTGAATATTTGCTATAGGCTACAGTTCTTGTTAACACTTCTAAATTTGATTGTTCTTATTTCTTAAACAAATGCTTCTGACAGTTCTCATTACAAGNCAGCCACACACGGTAGCTTATGGCAGCCCACTGCAGCAGGGGCTGCAGCCTATGCCGTCACCAGTGACTCACGACAGCCCAGCTCCAGGTCGAGCTGTTGTTCACCATCTTAGCTGTAGAGGGCAGTGTCAGTGGCCCCATGTGGGATCCGAATCGGGGCCCTGCTGCTCAGAGCTGGCGTTCCAAGCCAGCTCTTAACCAATGCGCCACTCGGCCGGCCCAGGACCACTCCAGATTTGTTCAGTAATGTGGGGGTATCACGCATGCTGAGTAAAATTAAAGAAAGAGGAAGAATTCCAGATATTGTCTTCTCAATACTTAGCTTTATATGTGAATGAATATCTTCAACCAAGCCCTTTCCTGAATTCCTGTCAACTATGAATTAAACCACTTCTCTCATAACAGAATGAAGAAAGGCAATTGCCTCTGGCCCCGCACGTGGAACAACGTCCTTTTCTTACTCTACAATGTGATTCATTTTTCTTTCTTTTTTTGAATGGTGTAGGCAGAGTACAGGGAAGTTTTGGACGCAGGCAGAAGCACAAATATAAACAACCTGCTGCTCCTCCAAGGCACACAGAGTGATCATTTGATTTGGCCTCCAACCATTCACTGTGCCAAAGGTGATGCTTACGAGTCCACCAGGTCAACTCTTTCCATCTCAGCAAATGACAAAGACATTAATCTCAACATTATTCAAACTGCAAAAGGGTTTGGGCTCACTCAGGAAGCCACTGACGTCATTATTGTGGGATGACGGATCACCCTGGCATGTCACATCACGATCAAAAAGCGTTAAGTCAACGAAAGGCCAAATGTCTTGTAAGTGCCCTAAGCAGCTTGTCAGGAGAGGCTTACTACAGCTAACAGGGGAGCAGCGAGACAGAAACATGTGCAGAGCTGATAGAATACATGTCAGTAAAGGGAGAGGCCCAGGGAACCATCAGTGACATGGATCAGCTAATGGGCTCCAGAAATCTCTCCGTTTGCTTTAGAAATGGGCCTGTTCTATTATGTTTGCTCCTAAAAACAATAAAGTAAATAAAATACTGTTCCCAGGGTGAGTGAGGGTGCAACTGACAATCTTATGAATTTGGCATATAGAAAAAGGTATGGATAAAGGGCATTGAATTCAGATCTTATAGATATTTCTGAGTGTTTAAGAAGAAATATCAATACCCACATAGAAATTCCACAAGAAAAATAAAGCAATGTACAAGAAAGAAAGCAATCAAATGATAGTAAAATACTTACAATTACATAGCACTAAACGTTGATTTAACCAAATACTGTGCCTTA